GAGACAAGACCTCTGTATGTAGCCTAAACTGGCCTTAAGCTTTTGATCCTTCTACTCCAGCTTCCCAAGTGCTGGGGTTATAGGCCTGCACCACCACACCCCAGTTATAAAGACCAAAAATCCTGAGACCCTGAGAACCTAAAAGTAGTTGTATAAAGGATGGTAGCTTGGTTTATAAACAGCAGAGCTGGAATTTCAATTCAGGGACAGTGAATTCCAAAGCCTGGGTATCCTGTATGCTCTCTAGACCAGTGGTTCTCAAACCTGTGGGTTCTGACCCCTTCAGGGGTCAAACGACCCTTTTACAGGAGTCACCAAAGACCATTGGGAAACACAGATATTTACATTATGAGTCATAACAGTAGCAAAATTACAGTTATGAGGTGGCAACGACAATAATCTCATGGTTGGGGCTCACCACAGTGTTAACTGCATTAACGGGGTGGGCATAGCATTAGGAAGGGTGGGAACTTTTTTTTTCTGCGTGCGATATCAGGGTACCGCGTGCAGGGGGCGCTCAAGACTCTCATGCTCACCTGATACTGGCCAGTGTGGGCCCTAGATGCCTGAGCAGGAACCTTTGTAAAAGGCTGTCACCAGACACCCCCCCTCCCACCTCTCTGCACAGCGCTTCCGGTAGTTTTTCTCTCTGACCCTCCCCCAACCACACCCGCCCAAGGGCAAAAGCTCTCAGATCAGGGGAGCAGCACTCAGCCTGCACAGCGCTGTGGAGACTCAGACCCTGTTTCTGAGTCCCAGAGATTCTTGAAGAAAGCAACCCAAGAAAGCCTAGTCCTTGTCCCGCTCTCTGGGAGGTGGAGGCAACACCCTAGAGGCAGGCATGCTATGTAGTCTTTCTGCAGTCCTGTCCCGCTGAATCTACAGGATCTGAAGAAGCAGGCTGAGCCCGGGGTCCTGGAGGGTCACCTCCCTGGAGACACAGAGAATACCTCTGAAGAAGAGGACAAGGTTCAGTCAAGGCGTGGCTAGGATGCAAGGTGATCACAGAGCCAAGGAGTGGCTGGGGCCAACTATAGGTCCTGTCTGGATGAAGCCTGCACTCAGGGTAGATGACAAAGAGACACGGCTCCATGTGTGTATGTCCTACTGAGAGTGTTCTATAGACCC